ATTGTTATTATTATTAGTAATTGTGCTATTATTTGTATTATTGTTTTTTAGATAGCTTTCTTTTGTAAATAAATTTTGTTTATCTAATTTTAAAATTGATTAATTTTAAAAAATATAAAAGAAAAATGTGATTAAATTTAAATAAATTAGCACTTGAAAAATAAAATTCAAAAGAATGTGAAAAAGAAATAATCCTCTTTATATAATTATTTTGTAGACAGGTTTTAATTATTTTGTAGATTATTTTTATTCATTTATTTTTTTAAATGATTAAATTAAAAAAAAGTTAAATAAAATAGTGATTAAATTTAAAAATATGTGATAACTATTTATTTTACATGTTTTCGTGTGTATATTTTGGGGAATAAATCAACTCTTTCATAACGTTTACCTTGTTTTATCTTAAGTTTAGTGTGTTTTCTTTTGTTGTAGTTAGTATATGTTTGTTTTTACCTCTAATCTCCATTTGAGTGTGAAATAAGAAAATAGGAAAAAAAAGTTAGAACTCAAGTAAACATAATTCGATAACAAAAGATATATTTTAAGTGAATACTCACACTAAGTGCCACAAGAGTCACGCTTAGTGTTGCGAACACGATGAACAAACATAATTTTTTCTATGACAAAGTTCACAAGTTGATCGACACTGTTCATGCGTTGATCGACATTGTTCACGCGTTAATGGACATTGTTCATGGGTTGACCAACACTGTTTGCTCACTAGGCGAGTTAACTTTCTCGTTAGGTGAACTGACCAGCTTGTTGGGCAAGAATTGATGCTCTTTGGGCGTGTGTATCAGTCTAAAAACACAAAAAAAAAGGTATTTAATCATGTTTTCATGGAGGTTTTGGAATTCTCCTCCTACACTTCATTTTCACCTAAAGCGATTGGGAAGGGCCCTTAGAGGTTGTTTGCGATGCTGGGAAGCTCTCCCACTCCTCCTTGGGTCTTCAAGCTTCATCAATGGTGATTGTCTCTTTTGGGTTGAGGAAGAAGGTGAATCACGAATTGATGAAAATGGGAAAGGGAAACGTAATTGGAGCATAAAGTAGTTGCAAAGAACCTTGGGAAAGGTCGTGCATCTCTTTATGATTTCAATTTCTTCTTTATCTCTTTAATTTTGTAGAACTCTAACTTGTCCAATAGTTTTTTCTATTTGTTGAGATTAAATGTAATAAATAAAATCTTGTGTATTTTGTGATGGTAATACATATGTTTTTCTGTTTCAAAGTTAGTATTCAATTTTTGTGTTTAATGCTTGCTTTGGTTTCGTCACCCATGCATGATTTGTGGTTCTTGAGGTATTGAAAAATATGACTTGAACCTATAATTGAAATTTAACACTTAATGAATGGAATTGAGATGTTTATGAATGCATGAGAATGAAATGGATGAATTCTAGTATTAACAAATTGTAAATACTCTATACTAAATTCCTTGCACACCAATTGTTTAATAAAAAATACCAAAAATAGTTTCTTATATTTTTGTACACTTTGATGTTTAATTGAGTTATGAAAGGAAAATTTATTTATGTTGCATAAGTCCCTTAGAAGTGAACTATATTTTTCACTTGTTACGCTTTAATTTGTATACTTACCTTCGGTTTTGCAACCAACAATATATACCTGTAAGATAAATTTAGAAATAAGTGGATAGAAATATGAATTTCATTATAAAATAATAAGATAGATTAGTACGTAAGTATAATTAGATTTGTTTGAAATAACAACTGCTGAACAATATTGAAAAAGAAAATGTGTACACGACAAATATAAATTTTCTTATATATACCAGTGAGACACAAATGTTATTGATGTATGTATGTATTTTTAAAATATTAGTAAGTGATGATGCTGAAATCTTATTAAGTTATTATACGAAGTAAATTTGTATTTATTAAGTTATATTTATCCATAATTTATGTTTTGTTATAGATAATTATTTAAAATTTAAAAGTAGTAATTAAAAGGATAAAATTGAAATAGCAAAAAATACATATAGTTATAGATATAGTTGTAGATAAAATAAATTTTAATTATTGAAATAAAACATATTATAAATATCTAGTGAAAGACATGTGTTTACTTTTTTTAATGATAATAAAAGATAATTTTTATAATTTTATTGTAAATATAAATAAATTTATAATTTTATTTTATATATAAATAATTTTTATTCATTTTGTAGGTATTATTATAATTAAAAAATGGTTATGTTTGAAAAATGGTCAAATAAAAAAAATTAAATTACAGAAAAACAGTTACTTAAAAAACTAAAATAGGAAAATAATTATTTTAATTTAAAAAATATATATTTAAAGAATAAAATTCGAAAACTAATATGCTCATAAAAAAAAGAGAATCCTCTTTGTCTATAGTGTAATGTGTATAGATGTATAGGTAATTACTAACCGTATATATTATTATTATTATTAATATTAACATTAGCATTAAGATTATTAGCATTAACGTTATTAGTAATATTATTATTATTATTAGTAACTAATAATTTTTATATCATAAATTTACAAACAACACTAACAAAAAGACAAGCTAAAACATTTTATTTAATATAATATTTAAATAAAAATTGTAATTCAGAATTTTAGTCATATCTGATTAATTATTATACTAATTTTATAATTTAGTGTAAACAAATTAATATTTATGTTAGTTTTTAATCTTAGTATTTATCATTAAAAACAACAATATATTTGATTTCATACGTCAATATTTTTTAATATTTATCATTAAAAAAACAATACATTTTTTAATTCTTTATAAATTTTACCATCATTGGATTATATTTCATATGCTTATATTTTTCTTTGACAAGTATATATTTATACACATTTCATTTTAATATAATATAATTCAAAATTTTAATTATAAATTTTAATTATATAATCTTATTATTTTACTACACATTATTAATAAATTATTATATCCATTTTATAATTTAACAAAAATTAATTCATATTTAAATATTATTTTTTAATTTTATTATTGTTATTATTATTATTATTTATATTATTATTATCATTATTATTATTATTATTATTATTATTAATATTTGTATTATTTTTATAATCGATTACTAATATTACTAATGATATTATTAGTTATACTTTCTATGATTCATTATTTTAACATAAAAAGTTAATATTAAAATAATACTATTATTTTTAATTAATTTGTTAAAAAAATCGTGATTAATTTTTTAATTTTTTCTATATCATTAAAATTTTTATTTAAATATTATATTTAAATATAATTGTAAATATTATATTTAAATATAATTGTAAATATTATATTTACAACTATACATAATTTTAATATTTAAATATAATTGTGTAAATAAATTACTTGTTTAAATGTAATACTAATTATGTTATTTTTCTTAATACAAATCAAAAAAATAAAAGAAAAACAACGACATAGACCAGTTATTTTACAAAAATATACATATTAGAATCTCAACGTCTTAGTAATCTGTCACGTAGGTAACAATATTAATGAAGTTAACTAAAATGAAACGATGCCATTTTTTCAATCATTTGGATAGTAATTTTTAGAATTTTGTAACAACTAAAAAAAGACTGTATGAAATAAAGAGAATAAAGATATCATTCAGGCTAAAATAAGATATTATAATCCAATAATATTCCCGTACAATTAGAAAACTAAGTTTAATTATAGAGGCAAATTTAAAATAACTTTATTAACTTTACCCCCTAGTAGAAAATACTAGATTATAGTTCAGTGGATTACTATTTACAGAGAAGACCTTTCGTTTTTATAGTTCGTACATTTCTGTGTTTCTTTCAACTTATATTTTTATGTAGTTTTATATTGTAGAGAAAATGACTAAAAAATATATATTATGGCAAACATAAAACTATGACTAATTCGATCAAGATTATAGATTCTCCAATTCAACATCACTTTCCATCAAAACAAACAAATTTCATGTACCAAATACAAAAACAATTACATAAAATCAACTTTATAGAATCTAAAATCGCTTTCTCAAATCAAAATAACTATATCTACACTTATAAAACACTCAAATGTCGCATATGTGATTAGAAAACGCATGAACTATAAAAAAATATCAAAAACTAACTTATAATTTTGCAAAAACTGATTGGATATATAGACTTGAAAATATTTCTTCAGTGATTACTTAGACGCTCTCTTATCTTCAAATAGTTAAACGAAAGATATGAAAACTTAAAAAAAAATAAAACTCTTAAAAAATAAGATCTAAAGAAATATCATGTGTTTTAAATAATGAGACTTTTTAATTGAAATTTTATTTATATTTTAAAACTTTTAATATCAAATAACTGAATCTTATTATTTAAACAATTTATCAACTCTAAATACTCTATTTTTTATATTCTTACAACTAAACGCATCTTGTCATTGTTTTTTAACTTTTATATATAAAAGTCAATTTTAATCATGTAATATTTTAAAAATTTTTAATTAATTAATTAAATCTTTAATTAGATAAATTAAAATAATTATTATAGTTATATATTAAATTATTCTAATATAATTAATAATTATAACTTAATCTGTAAAATTATAATACAATTACATATTTACATAAATGAAGGAAGATAATTAAAAATATATTTTTATTCTAACTTTTAATTAAAGAGAGACCAATGATCCAATTTGTCCCATATTTTTTCTCATTTTTTATCCGTCAGTTTGACAGTGTTAGAGGGATTGAGCCAAGATGAATTGACAAACTGAAAATTTCAATATAAAGTATCAAATTTTAACACCTTGATCCACTCTACCATTTGTATTTGTGTTTCTTAAGATCGATCAAAATTTAAGTCTTTTTCATTTTGTACGTGCAAAGTTTAATTTAATCTATCAAACATTGGTCGCTTTATTGTTTAAAATTTTATATTATTTTCTAACAATATTTCTTATTTAGTTGGTAATGCAAGAGTTACACGTTGTAGTGAAGGAGACGATCGATTGGATAAAAGCTTAAATTATTTTATTTTCATTTTTCTTCTCTTGTTCCTCGATTCATGGATGAACGCTGTTGCATACCAGATTCAGCATCTTCTTCCGACGCCTACTGGCTTCTTCTGCAAGTCCTCTCTCTCATCCCTCTCTGGCATTACCTTCTCCTTGCAGCGTTCATTCTCTTCTCCCTTCTCTACAACTTCCTTGAACTCCATTTCTTCCAAGATCTCTTCTCGGGATTCGCAGGCTCCCCTGTGCTTCTCTCCTTCAACTCCTCCTCTCAAATCTACCACGCTGTCGTTTCCAAGTGCGATGTTCTTCGCGGAAGATATTTCGCCACGCCCTGGCTCTGCAGTCCTCATCTTCAGACTCTTTTCCTGAACTACTTCGGTAGACCTCCCTTCCTAAAATACGCCAGGTCAATTAAACTGTTTTTCACTAATCCAAATTTATTTATAGAAACTCTTGATTTGATTGTTGAAGATTGACGATGCAATGATTAGTTTTGTTTCAGGGAACTGTTTCGGACTGCTGATGGTGGAACCATTGCCTTGGATTGGCTGTTCAGTTCTCACGGTAAGTTTAATTAAAGTGTCCTCTGTATATAAGTTTAATTGAAGTTACTTGATGTAATTTGGCGATAGTTGTCAAAGTCGAAGGTTCATCCATCTTTCTGTCTTTTGTGACTGGTCATTTTACAGTTTCGGATAATGTTGGTTATGAAGATGAATCTGTTCCCATTGTTGTGGTTATTCCTGGCCTCACAAGTGACTCTTCATCTCAAGTAAGTGTTTCTATTTACTCTTTAATTTTAATACACGCTTATATGTCAGCCAATTAAAAATCACTGCGTTACTTTTACAGTAGACCACATTTTATCCTTGCTCTGCTACTAGGTCAGGGCTTGTAATGTTATTTTAGTATTATCCTTTTCCTAGTACCATCTGAACCTGTTATATTTATGCAAAGTCTTGTGTTATGTAACCATTATTGTTGTTGTAACTTTTTTAACAGTTTAGTGTGGCAACTGCACTATATATAATGTGTTAGGAATTCAACGGAGTTAGAAATTTCATTAAGGAAAAATGAGTAAAATAACTTACATAAGTAGATGTATACACATCGATTGCTTAAAAGTTTTAGACTACTGGAAGTTGTATCCTTGTCTGTTATATGACAATGTTAGCAACTCATGGTGTCGAATCTTTTTCTTAAATAAAACGTAATTGTAATTTTATCAAATGACATGCCACATTCAACAATGTCTACTATGTGTTTCCCCAAGGGCTTAATCTAAGAGGAAAGTATCCAAGGGTAATATCAGTTGGAATTTGATGCGAGATGAGGTTTAATTCTAAAGGGTATAATTGTTTGATTTGTTTCCCGTATACCAGTTGACAAAATAGGAAAGTGAGTTGGACACTATTGTTTTATTAATTTGTAGTTTTCATATTTTAGCTTGATTTTGATTTAGGAAATGCATTTAGACCATCCTGATGCCTTACAGTTTTATTTTTTTCTTTTCTTGCTTTCATATTGACAGTATATCAAACATCTCGCGTATCACACTGCAAAGCGTGGATGGAACGTTGTTGTTTGTAACCACCGAGGTTTTGGAGGTGTTTCAATCACGGTTAGTTTTTCTGCAAGCTTTAAATAAATAGAACAAAGGGTTGCTACACTTTTAAAACATAACTTGAATCCTGTTGACTATAATGTTAGTATTATTTTGCATTGTATCAAATCTCATGTTCTTGTGTTAATAGTTTCTTCATCTTGTTTTTCTTTTTAAAATCATTTCAGTCTGACATTTCCTACAATGCTGGATTGACTGAGGATGTTCGCGCAGTGGTTAATCATCTCCATAAAGAGAGATCCAAGGCACCACTGTTTGTTGTTGGAACTAGTATCGGAGCTAATATTCTGGTATGTTCATAGCTTGAGCCTTATGCAATGGTTACAACAAATGTTGTCTTTTTTACGTAAAAAATAATTTAAATTACTACCAATAGTTTATTTATTTTTAAATGACATACATTATTAGGTGCCACTTGTAGGAAGGGCCAATGAAAAAATTATTTAAGTGTTGTTTATGACATTTCTCTTTTCTCGAAAATTTGACCTCTGTTATCAAATATGCCCTGGTTGTACTCTATAAAAGAATTTCACTTTGTCGTATTATATATCATATTAGGACTAATAATTTTAACACCTATGTTAATGGCCTAATGCTGAAATTCTTTATGATGTTTTTCATAATTGATACCGATAACTTTTTGGCAACATGACAATTCCTCTTTTTATAACTCAATTAGACATCAAAATGCACAAAACAACACCAGAAGCTCTTTTTGGTATTTTATCAGTTGGTGTGCAAGCAATTTATATTTAAAAGAAACTTAGTTCAAATTGAGTTTCATGAATCATAGGAATATAAAACTCTATTCAATATTTCATTATTTCATTCAAACATTCACATCAAGACATACTAGTCCTAATCCCTTAGCAACTAGTTCTAAATTAATATATCAAAATGTTAATCCCTAAGTCAATTTAACATACAATTTGCATGAAATCCGAGGTTAAGAATGAACAAAGTTATTGAGTCTATCCCTAGATCTCAAATCACTTAGGTACTCTATCTATGTTCATGTTCAAAGTTACTTTCCAGTAATCAAATACATTCAAATAACATTATATTTTCATACATTGTTATTAAATTCAAGAAAGAGCATATGAACGAATAACGATATATTGATTAGTAAAATTATATCTTATTGAGTTCATTACATCTAATTCCAATGAAAGATAAATTTAACTACTCCTAGTCATCTATAACGTACACATTTGAAGCAATCCCTTGCAACAATGGTGTCTTATGGCTTGAAGTAGTCTCCGGAAGTTCTTGAGATGTTTTCGTTTCTTTCCTCTGTCCGGAACTTTTGTCTGCTTTTCTTTCTGTCTCTTACCCACTTTAAAAAGCCAATTGAAAAAATAACTAATTCGCTAAGCGCACAACTCTTTATGCGCTAAGCGAATATTCAACTGCAGCATATCTTTAATTGTCCTTTATTCGCTCAGCGGGTTGTGCTGGTGCGCTGAGAGAATAAAACTCTATTTAGCTGAGCGATTTAATGTTGGCTTAGCAAGAAACATCTGATAGCACTACACTTTGATGTATAAATTCCTGTACACTTTACTACACACTTTCCTATTTCTAATTACAACTTTTCAACGAGGAAAACACATTATTTTATGAATAAATACAAATTTTGAGTTAATTAATAAGTCTGAAAACATGTATTTTTCATACTTATCAGATACGTATTTTATCATTCTCACTTATGTGAAGAGCTGTGTTAGCACTGCATTTGTTTTATTCAATTATTCTTTTTAGGTTAAATATCTTGGTGAGGATGGTGAGAATATTCCTGTTGCTGGAGCTGTTGCTGTTTGCTCTCCCTGGGACCTTTTGGTTAGTATTTTGATTTTAAAGTGACTTGTTTTAAATTTTGAATTTCAAATGACTTTAGTCAATATGGTATGAAAAACCACTACAATCTTTCGTTTCAATTTGTTCTCACTTCACGGTTTAACTGTTAGTGGATTTAATCGAAGAAAAGAAATTAGTTTTGTAGGAAACAGAAATAATACAAATGGAATGAAATAAAGGAGAATATATTTTGAAAATTGGAGTTTATGATTTATAATTATTATCATGGTTAAAAAGTAAATTTTAAAACTAACTTAACTGATTTGGAAGATGATGTTTGCAGTCACTACTATATTATAAATTAACATATTTATCTTGAGGTGAGACTGAATATTATTAATAGATAAAATAGATTTTATCATGATATCATTTTAAAAAATTAATTTTAAATCTAAGACAATTTTTTGAACTGGAGGTTTGCCCAAATAGATGTGAGCCTTCCTACTGTCTTAAAAATTTAATATGGAATTTGTAAAGGAAACAATAATAAAAGGTCAAATTGTCCATCCATAAGTGTTTTTTTTTTTATCAAAATATGTATGTGAATAATAAAAAACTATGAAATGTTTTTAAATGCGACTGGTGGTTCAAATTGAGTTTTGGATCTGTTTTTAAATTATTTAATTATTTAATAAAACGTTTCGAATTATCAAAATAGCTGTACTGAATTTAATTTCCTCTTCAATGTCCTCGTAAATGTTGGAATGGATCTTCATTCTACCTTTTATTAAACTCCGCTAAGTTATGTTACTTGTTTATCGTTGTAGATAGGGGACAGATACTTACGCCGAGGGCGTGTGCAGAAAATTTATGATAAAGCACTTGCATTTGGACTTCTAGATTATGCAAAATTGTACGTCTGCATTTTTTTTTTTCAGTTCAATTTAACTTTCTCCTTCATCAGCTCTTATTATCTATTCAAGTCTTCAAAATGCAGACAACGTGGAAAATCAAGAACTTTTGTCTATTGTTCGTTTCTAGACTTAATTTTATATTTTTCCCAACAATCATTGCAGGCACCAGTCTCACTTTTCTCGCAATGCTAATTGGGAAGGAATGGAAAAGGTGACCTTACCAGTTAATGTTCTATTTTCATTTGATTACCTTTTCAACGTTTTATTTTCTAATGGTAAAAGTAATGTATGTTTTTGACGTGTTATCAATGGTAAAATTGAAAGTGATGTCGTAATTTGTTATGGACGTATTTTCAATGTCTCTCCTAAAAAACCTGGCAACTCATTTAGCTGTTTGGGTTAACTTTTTCTGGGCGTAACTATTCTAATTCTAATACCTAGAATATTCTTTTTTTTGAGTGGATCTGAGGGAATGGATTTGAGGGAATTTGAGAGGATTTGAAAATAATTTTTTTTGTCGTTTTTTTGAGCGAATTTGGAGGTAAATGAGAGTGAATTTGAAAATAAAATTTGTGAGAATTAATATAGAATTGTATTGACGTAACAAATTAAAAAAAATTATTTTCAAATTCACTTTCATTTACTTCCAAATTCGTTAAAAAAATGATAAAAAAAATTATCTTCAAATCCTCTCAAATCCATTCTCTCAAATCCTCTCAAAAAAACAAGTCCTAAATGTTATTGTCTTATTTAATGTTAGTTTTTAAAATTTTATCAAACATGCGTGCATATGTACTTTTTTTGCTTCGCAGTCAGTTTCTGTTCGCGATTTTGATGATCACGCAACCCGTGTAGTTGGGAAGTATGAGGTACTTGTGTATGGCCTAAATTTGTAATATTTTATCTCTTTTTATTAGTTAATCAAACCAACTTTTTTGCTTAGAGTGTGGATACGTACTATAGACGTTGCAGTAGTGCCACTTTTGTGCGTTCCGTTTCGGTTCCGCTTTTGTGTATTAGTGCTCTTGACGATCCAATCTGTACAACAGAAGCCATTCCCTGGGATGAATGCAAGTATGCTTCTAATTTATTTTCGTTCTCTTCTATTCCTTTAGCTCCAATTAACGCACTGCACTACTCTTTTGGTAGGGCAAATAAAAACATTGTGTTGGCTACTGTAAAGCATGGAGGACATCTGGCCTTCTTTGAAGGACTATCTGCATCTCGCATTTGGTATGAGTTTAAAAGTCCACGTTAAATAACAAAATATTAAAGAAAAATACCTATATATATATATATATATTTTTTTTTTTTTGTTTTAGGTATATATATATATACCTAAAAAAACTGATTTTGATTTTCACTGAAAATTAATGAACTAAAAATATATTTAAATTTTAATATAAATATAAATGCTTTTTACATTTCAATATAAATATAAACGTTAGATCCATATTTTATTATCGTTGTATCTACTTAAATCTCATATATAGAATTTTTAGGGGTTAAATTAACTTGGTAAAATTTCAATTTTCTCCAATTGTAGGTGGGTAAGAGCCGTAAATGAATTCCTTGGTGTACTGCACAGGAGCAAATATATGCATGTACAGGATAAAGGTAAAATGTGGTGTGATATTGGTCATAGGGAAATAAGCAGAGTATCTATGTGGCTGAATTCTGATTTTTGTTTGGTAACTGTCGTGTAGAATTCTCAACCAAAAGTTCCATTGGACTGATCAATTGATGATGGCACTGCATCCAACGTTGACCTCAGAAACAATGTGGAAGAAACACGTTTAGTGCATGTATAGTGACAGTCGTAACATGCTTCCGCAAGAAAAAGTTCATTAAATGACAACTGACTAACTATTGCAAACAGTTGCTACTGTGCCTCGTTATTTATGAAGCCACAGAGAATAAAAGTCTTCTATAATATTTTGGATTGAAAATTTAAAGAAGCTAATTATTTTTAGAGAATTTAAACGCTTTATAAAAGATACAGTCTGAATAAAGAATTTTAGAATTTTATAAAAATAGTTAGATAATTAAAACTATTATATTTTAAATTTTACAAAAGAATTATTAATCTCTTTTTAATTTAACATGTTTTTGGTCAAGTGGTTGTGACTAATACCTAAATATTCTTTTCCCATTAAAACTAGTTAGGTTTCTTTTGTCAATCTTAAGTATTCTTTTTAAAAGATTTTATTTCACCGAATATTCAAAGTATTTCATATTTATACTTACGTACATGTTGGATACCGGTACAAATAATAAATTTTTATTTTTAAATATTATTTAACTTTGTTTGGATTTAATAAAAAGTTATGTATTGGTTGATTTACGAGTATAAGTATAAATAATATTTAAATTTTTAAATTAGGCATGAGTTGGAAATAAGTAGATAAATGTCTCTCTTTTATATTGTATGTTTTTTTTCATCACTTACTTTTATTTTGGTTTTAAATGGTCAAATCAGTTGTAATTAGTAGGTAAGTTAAAAAATTTATATAAACTTTTCTTTGTCTTTATACTTAACTTATTTTTAAGACCATTTTTATTATTAAGATGTAAATTTTAATCATAATAAACTTTAGAAAATATGTTTCATAAGATAAATTTTGCATTTATTTATGCATTGTAATCTATTTTATATTTAACTCATAAATTTTCTAATACATTTCTTCAATGTCGTGACATACATCTGAATGTAAAATTAAACATTAATTATAGTTCGATTACTGATAATACAATAAGAAACAACAAAATTTTCAAAAGTAAAAACCATAAAAAAATATAAATATTACTATAAATATTATTATAGATTTTGGATAACTCTAACACCACTTAAAAAATAAATTTTAAATATAATTTAATCTCATAAAATCGACTCATAAAATTACATTTGTAACTACTTATATTTCTCATAAAATCGACTCATAAAATTACATTTGTAGCTACTTATATTTGGTAAACCTTATGTCCAACATTTATATAATTATTTAACACTTTGTCTAATTTTTATTCTTTCATTTTGTATTTATATAATTATAATTTTGTTTATTGGTATTTAATGATGGAGAATATATATATATATATATATATATATATATATATATATATATTATTTTACTCTTATATATAAGGAAATCCAAATTATTTAAATTAAAACGTTACGTCACATCACATGAAAATGGAAAGTGAACAAGAAAGTGGTACCCCACACCTCACATAAAGGTCTTTAGTGTTTGATCTCCACACTTTGACCTTAAAATCCTGAACTATTATCATTAACCTATTTGTAGAATTCCATCACTCCCGGCCCAGACGACGCATGACAAGCAACATTAAATTTTGAAAAACCAGCCAGCTTGCACAAATTCTCGTACTCTTTCTCAGTTCTTTCCTTTCCACCTGCTGTGATAAACATAAGGTTGTCCAGGCTCGAAACGAGCTGAGATTGTTCAGTTGCTTCTGGTTCTTCTGGCATTATGAATTCCAGAACAACCACCTTCCCATCTCCAGACAGTGCTTTGTGACAATTGCTCAATATTTCTACGCACTTCTCGTCAGACCAATTGTGCAAGACAGCCTAAAACAACATCATAAAACACACAAATATTTATACAACCTTAAAACGAAATTAGATTAATCCAATACATGAAATAGGTGTTTACTATCATTTATACTAACCTTTAGTGTCATGGCGTCACCTTCTGGAACACTTGCAAACATATCTCCTCCAACATGCTCAACCCCTTAACCATATTTTACAAAGTTTAGAATTTAAACATATCATTATATTAACCCTTTGATATATAATAAAACGTTAAATATGTCAGGCTACCTGATAGCAGTGGTGCATTCTCAATGACTTGGTGCAGATCAAAATTAATTCCTTTCATTGAAGGGTGTTTGGAGACTATCATTTTCAGGTTTTGTCCATTTCCACCTCCTACATCGACCAACGTTGATATTCCCTCAAATCCATTATATATGTCAAGTATTCTATTCATATCTGTTACGCACAAATCCGCCATAGACTTGTTAAAAATTTCGTTCATTTTTGGATTCTTTTCCATGTACTGGTACGTTGTTACCCCATGAAGTTTCTTGAACAAATCAACGTCTGCATCAACCACCGCTTCCTTGAAATTCAGCCTGAGAAAAGAGATTGGAGCAAAGTAAGCTTTCCTTCTTTGAAAAAATGAAAATAAGGCTACACTTTTAGTCACAGACGTAATATTTAGACTTTTATGAAAAAAGTGTTTGAGATTCTTCTCATAATACTACACATACCCTTTATGTCAACAAAAAATCGATGTCATAAATGAAAAGCTCATATTTAATAGTATACCTAACTAAACTGAAATAACTTCATAGTTTCATTCATATCATGATACAGTGATGATAAGAAGGACATGCATAAGAGTTAAAATGATTTACCAAAGAGGTGAGAGTGCAGGACAAGAGAGAAAGGATGCAAAAGAAGCGAAGTAGCCTCTAGTTGCATCAGGGGCATAGTATTGTCCAATTTGTGAGAGTCCATAAACTGTCTCAGTGGCACCATGTTGTGTGGTGCGTGTTGAAGTGGTAAGAACAGAATAACTAGCAAGCAAACGCAGCATGCGATCAAGCCTATTGGGCAAGTCAGGATGCTGGTTTGGGAGCTTAGAAGCAATTTCATGAGATGAGAGGAATGAACCGTGTGGTGTTGCCTTGGCTATGATCTCAAACAGGTTGAGTTGAATAGCAGCATTCAGAACTGCAGGGTAGACCACAGTAGTACTAAGCAACATTGCAGATAGACGAGCAGCTTCATCACATTTTTTGGGACAAGTTGTAAAGAGGTTATTGGTGCTAACAAAACTGGATTCCCCCATTCTTGACTCTTAATTTAACTCTAAGGATCTTTGGTTTCTGGTTTGGTTACAATTTGCCTGCTTAATTACTCTTCGGTGTGCTCTTTTTATAGCTGTTTGTGGTCGTAGATGGAAAGGCTTTACGTGGTCCATTTAGGATTTTTTCCTTGTATTTGGTTTAATTATTTTGTGTGGTGTGGGCATAAGCAAGTCTTGTGGTGAGAGATTTATTTCAAATTTTTTTATATTCAGCAAAATAATTATACTGTTTTTTCATTAAATCAAAATTAGTTTATATGTGGGCGCCAAATGTTTCGGATGTGTAGGGCTGTGCGGTTCCAAGTCTTCCAAGTCCTCCCGCGGTCTTGTCTCCGTGACGGATCTTCTCCTGGCGCTTTGACTCTCCTCTTGATCCGGAGGGGTGGAGACCTACAAAAGATTCTCCGATGCCAAAGTCAGTTTCAGAGCAGTGGCTATTTTCAGTAGTAGTAATAAATGTGCATTCAATGTAACCTATCTACCACTCACCGTGGACCTGTATTTATAGTTTTCGCTATGGGCTTGGGATTAGTGAAAAGTTAATCACGGCCCAAAACGGCCCAATAGCTTCTAATTTCTACTTACCTTTAAACCAGGCTACTTTTCCTTAAGTCATGTTGATTAGTGTTTTGGCGGGTGTGGACGTCCGCCCATGTGAAATGGGCGTCTGCCTCGCGCGCACGGAGATCCGCCCATGTGAGATCCACCCATGTGGGATCTTTGGTCCGGCGTCCGGTTTTGCTGGCCGTGTCCGCGAGGATCCGTCCATGTGGGGTCCGCCCATGTGGGCTCTTCCGTACGGCGTCCGGTTTTGCTCGTCGTGTCCGCCCATGTGATATGGGCGTCCGCCTCGTCCGCATGGAGATCCGCCCAATTAGCTTGGGCGTCCGCTCACATGGATCCTTCCGTACGGCGTCCGGCCCTTGCAGATACACAAGCCCCCCAAGTCCTAGTGCCCGTAGTGAACGTAGGACTTTGGGTCACTTAACAGGCAAGATTTGATGCAGTGGCTGTCGTGTCGGGCTGCTCTGTGATGGTAGAATTCCTTGTGAGTTCTTCAAAGTTTTTCTTATAAAGAGGTTCGACCCGGTTGGTAGGTGTTCCTCCCTGCTACAAGAGGGTTAGGAGAGTTTATACCGGGTCTAGGTTCAATCTTTGGCTGGCTCTTCAACGCATGAGCCTCCGGCTTGCCTTATACGATTGCGTACAGGCATTGTCGTAAGTCACCGTGGCCTCCGGAGTGGACTCCGGTACATCTGGGTAGGCGATTATTGGGCAACCGGACGGTCCTTCCGTATGGCGCCCGGTATTTCGGGCGTCTTTTGCACGGCGCCTGGCACTTCGGCGCCCTTCGGCGGTTTCGGTATTTCGGGCGTCCCTTGTACGGCGCCCGACACTCTCTGGTACATATATATATATATATATATATATATATATATATATGAGATTTTACATCAACAAATGAAAATTATTTCACAAATTAACATAGTATCTAATACTATAGATTTACAATTATTTTAAAAAAATTTATTGTTTATTGAATCTATTTTATCATCTCATATTAAATCGTTATAAAATTATTGCCTAGTTCTATACTTGAAACACTAAAAAAAAATAATTATTATCGACGACCAAAATTCGTCGAAAACGTCCAAAATCTGTCGGTAGTGTCATTTTTTCGACAGTTCACCGACGGAGTTTGGTCCGTCGATAATAACGTTGTCGGTAATATCTCGATCTGGTTTATCTTCCTCCTCTTTTCCCTTCTTCGGTTTCCTCAGATTTTAATTTTTTTTATTAAACTTTCTTCATTCCTTAATCAAAATAACAATCCAATTCATTCTAAAACCAAAATCAAAGGCTCTACTTAGGTTCTCCAATTGTTTTAGAAACCCTAAAATTGGGTAAAATCTCCAATTAGTTTTTGAGTATCCCGACGGCAGCACTACTCCGCATGGTTCTCCGACGGCAGTGGTGGCGTTCTCCCATGGCAACGGTGGTGCT